CACTATCATCTCCTGTAGAAACACTTGGTCCTTCTTATCTGATGTTACAACATAGCTGTCTGGTACAGTTTGGTCTGAGTCATACTGAAGTTTGTCTAATTTTCTAGAATTGTTGTCTTTACAAATAACCTTGGGCTTATGTTTTCAGGTGAGTATTCTGGCTTTTACTTCCTAATTAAATGAAAAAGGCTTAAAATTCACAAGACTCGCCTATTCAGTTATTTTCCTATTTGTATTACGATCATTTTAGCAAGAACTAGAAAGACTAGCTGGAACGCTGACTAAAACAAGTGTAGATTTTACAAAGAAGGGAGAATATATTTAGATAATTTATATGAACCAACTAAGAAAACTGAATGGTGACGCTGGAGAAAAAGATGCTGTTCACCTATGAGAAATCAATCATGAGGGTTTTCAGTATCATTGTGGGGCTATCTTTTTCAGAGCACAGAGAAAAGTTCACCTAAATCCTGATGTTACAGAGAGGCATGTTGTGACCTCTTTTTACAATCAGAAAATTAACAGGGTATGGGAGGGTAAAGGGGGACACAATGGGGATACAATGAGCAAAGATTGTGGTGCTGATTAAGTGTGTTAGCACATGGAAAACAGAAAGTCCCTGGAAAAGTGTCTGATGTATAGTTAGTGCTCTGGAAATATTATTTACAAATATTATTGTATTTTTACTACTGGAAGCCTGATACCTGAAATTATAAGTGAAAAAGACAATGATATGAAGAAAATCCATAGCTAGAAAATCATACCCACAGCATCGTACATACCTGCAGCAACATATGCGCCTCCCCCGGCTTTATAGAGAAGATGGCTGGCAAAGGGCGCTGCACAGATGATCAGAAAGCTTGCGGTCACCACAGCAACCACTGCTAGGAGCATCAGAACAGCCCAGAAACCACGGTAGACTGGAGACCCCAGGAGAAAAGGAGAAATGAAAAGTACACTTAGATGGTGAACCCAGCAGATTTCCAGGCCATGGGTCCTGACTTATCTTTCAATGGAAACCTTACCAACTGACTTCGGACTCAGTGATGTCGGCGTTCAATCATCATGCCTGGGATCTGCGCCACACACAGGCTTAATATACTTTGGGAGCTCAGTTTTCTGATCGGATTTTACATTTTAGAAGTGGAAACACCTAAAGTTCCAGAAAATGTTCTCTTGAGTAACTACCCAGCCAGGTCCAGTAGGTGTTTCACAGCAAATGCACAAAAGATGTGAAAAGGCATTCACATTTACGAACACTGCCTCTTACTTCCTGCTAAGATAATGTTTATAGTAAAAACGGCAAGCAAAACAAAGCAAAACAAAACAAAAATGATGGTCTGTAAATGGAGATTTTAAATCAGATCTATTTAAGGCATATTACTTTCTATCAATATTTATTTTTAGAATGATTCAAAATGAGGAGTTATAGTGATGTCTTATTCAAGGATCAGCAAGCCCAAATGAATAATGATGAACAGATTGTGGGTTTGGTGATATATACAGGAATTCTATTGATCAATTTTGAGCAGTATAATTACCAATCTATTAAACAAATTTATAATTTCCCAAAGACTAAAACACTAAACAAATTCCTTTTGGTGTAAGCAAGGGAAAGCTCAATGAAACATCTTAGTCAAATTACAATTTTTTAAATGAAAATATAGAAACTTTATAACAAAGCAAAAGATGGTTTTTCTCAATAAGCCCGCGCGGAAAAGATAAAAAAAAATGTCAATGAACTGGAAAGTCAAAGAGAAAAGAGGGTGGGAAGATGGGAATTTGAAGAGAAGCGTTAAACAGGATGGCAGGCTGGCATTTTCTTGTGAATAACAGTCCTGAACGCAGGAATAAGAGGTCAGCATTTACCTCAAGTACCTGTGCCGTTAACTGGACAGAGGCGGCCGGCTGGCTGTGTCAGGAAGTATTCTGTTCAGGCAGGGAGCAGAGCCTGAACAAAATACATCAGCTTTGAGCATGGGAAGGGTGACAGACTGTGAGCCACGTGTTTTCTGTCCTGGTCCTACCAAAGCTTATTAGATAATTGGCAAGTTTCACATTTTCCTCTTTAATTCACTTTATGTACTTCACTGTCTATCACAGGGCAGATTCCCTGGCAAGCACCAGAGGTAAAACAGTAGCAAGACACAGCCTAAGGAGCAAAATCACAGGGCAGATTCCCTGGCAAGCACCAGAGGTAGCAAGACACAGCCTAAGGAGCAAGGAGCCTGTTCCTTTGCTCCCCTGATCACACTAAAACTGGAAAAATATGGCAAACAACTGTCTGAGGACTCTGAAAAGTAAACTAGCAAGTGGATTAAGGAGCGAAGTCAACCTTTAGCTGAGATCCACTCAGCTACAAAGAGTCTTGGGAGTGTTTCCTTTTTCCTTCTCCTGGATTTGGCTTGAAGGCAAGCCAAATTGGGAACTTTGTAAAAGGTGCAGCAAAAAGCAAAACAAAACAAAACAACCCCAGTTAAGGCCATCATTCTGGGCACAGAAGCCGGAAAAAGGATCCCCACAAGCCAGTGTATGGGGAAAACCCCTATGTTTCTCTTTTTATTCTCATAGTCATGCTTCAAGGCCAGCTTTAAAAGTAGACCTGCACCGCTATTCCAGTGGAGGCATGGGCATTTAACATTCCAAGTGATGATTCAACCCTTTAGATAGAAGAATCAGAAAAAGGGCCTCCCATGGTACAAAAACTGGGGGAATCACTGTTACATGTTTTCTCTTTCTGCTTGCTACTTCACACTGCAGTGTGATTGCATGGAACTGTGCACAGCACAGGAGGGCCAGAATGAAAGATTCCAATGCTTCCAGCCAGAAAAACAGGGCGAAGGAGCCCTAGAAGCCAGAAGGTGTGGGGAAAATTCCACAGACAAGAGAGAGCTGGAGACCCTTCAGACTCTAATTCTATGTTTGAAGCCACACAAGTAATGAGCTCAATTCCCCAAGCTACACACTGCAGAAAATGCCCACAGAAGTGTAACAAAGGCTTTGAGAGCTGAACTACAGCATAAAAATCACCCAAGCATGAGAACAATCCCCGAGTGCTGTGTGCTTCAAGCAGACCCAAATAGCATGGCAATGACTCTGAACACTGAAATGACTTGATCTAATACCACAGGAGAAACAATTTCAAACAACAAATTACTATTCTCAGATAATTTTAACTGCTGCAGACTCTGAAAACGTAATGTTCAAAATGTCCAGGATACAATCAAAATTACTTGGTATACTAGCAACATGAAAATCTAACCAATTCTCAAAGGAACAAGCCATTACCAGATGCCAATCCAAGGATGACTCAGATGTGTGAATTATCGGATAGACTTGAAGTTGGCAATTAGAACCATTTTCTGTAAACTTTGGTGAACCATCTTGAAATGGATAGAAAGGTAGACATTCGTAGAAGAGAAAAAGAGTCCGTAAAAAAGACAAAAAGTTTTAGAGTTGAAAAATACAATATCTTAAATTAAAAATCCATTAGATGAGCTCAAGAGCAGCATGGAGATGAAAGAGGAATGCATGAGTGAACTTTCATAGCAAGCGATAGAAATTATCCATTCTGACCAACAGAAAGAAGAGATTGAAGACAAAAATTAATAGAGTTGCAGAGACTTGTGGGACCAAATCAAAAGACCTCACATTTGTGTCACTGGAGTCCCTAAAGCAGAGGCAAAAGATGTTGTTGCAGGAAGAACATTCATTGAAATAATGCCTGAAAACTTCCCAAATTTGGCGAAAGATAAATTTACAGATATAAGAAACCCAACAAACTCCAAAGAGGATAAACTCAAAAAAGCCAGCCCGCACACATTATAATAAAATGACTGAAAACCATGAACAAAGAAAAAGTCTTGCAAGCAGGCAGAGGGAGAGAAATGACATATTAAATATAGGAAGAACTGATCTAAGGGCTGCGTTTCTTATTAGAAGTGATGGCAGCCAGAAGACAGTTGAACGACATCTATAAGATGCCACAAGAAAAGACCTATCAACCTAAAATCATGCTTCTGGTAAAAATATCTTTGAGGGATGAAGGTGAGAGAAAGCCATTTGTCAAGGAGGAAAATAGGATTTCTCACCAGCAGACCTCCTCTCCAAAAACACACAAAAGGAATTTCTTTGGGCTGAAGAAAATGTCACCAGAGTTCACCTGAAACTTCAGGAATGATGAAAGAGAAACAGAAAAGGTAAATAACTGCATAAATAGAGTAGACTATTTTTTCTCATCGTAATTTATTTAAAATATGTTTGAGTGTTGAAATAAAAAATATATAATCACATAATACAGTAAAGGAATGTAGGTTTTGGAACAAGAGTAACCTGCGAATTCACATTTACATGTGATATAACCTTGAACCTGTTACTCAAGCTTCCTGAACTTCTATCACTTCTGTAAAACAAGGATGTTTGTATCCATCCTTTAGAGCTATTGGGAGAATTGTTAATAATGTATGTGAAGTGCGTGGCATAAGAGACCAATAATGGCATTTATTTCGTGATTGCTTTTTTTGCTGCTATTGTTAAAATGCATTAACACTACACAGCAGGTGGTATTGTGCTCAGTAATAAGAAAGGAAATTACTTCCTTTCGAGAGCCTTACATATTGTTTTTTTATGTATCACTGACATTTGGAAATCCCTTTAGAATATAGCTTAGAGTATAGTACAGAAGTTGTATTTGACTGCCAACACAGAAAGTTCCACAAAGTTCTCACACCTTCTCTCATGGGAAGGTTCCCTAACTATTAACCACTAGGAAGGCATTGGGCATATTTTACACCACGTGACTCTACTCCTAATTATCCAAAATTACACAAATGGGGTCAGACACCTGACACAAAGGCAGGTGAAACATGGCGACCTCTGACCCCTGCCTTATGACCTAAATTTTGAAAAGACGAGGAGTTGGGCTAATTAGTGTGATCCCTTCAGAACTGGAAAAGTGAGGGGATTAGTAGTAGCATTGAAATTAAAAGAAAGTGCTGGTAGCTGGGTCCAGAAGAGAGTCATGGGGAGCCAAGGCCATGTGCCAACAAGAGGGCAGGAATATGAATCAGGCCACAGGGAGGCAGGATAAGTGGGTAGAGCCTCTCCACACAGACATGCAGAGAGGCTATAAGAAAAACACGTGATGAAGGAGAGAGAGAAAGACAGCCAGACAGATATGGTGACAAATGCTCCTCCAAGCTCACACTTGGCAACTGCTATTTCTGTCATTTCCTTACTTCCAGCCAAAGGGCCCAACTTTTAGTTTTGAGTCCCCTGTAAAAGGCAAGAGTGACAGACGTGCATCTAAGGGAAGGGGGTACCTGGCTGCCTGGAGAGTCATGACCAAGTGAGATTCTTTACTGTAGTCACCAACCATGTGCTTTATTCTTCTGCCTGTGTCTCCACACTCAAAATTGCATAACTTCAAGCCTATTTCAAAATTTACCTAATTTGCACACTTTCATTCCAGAATTAAAATGTTCAGTCATAATGAAAAACCATCTTGTGGAATTGGGTAGAATACTTTCACTGTCTAAAGTAAAACTGAGGCTATCAACATAAAGTGAATTGAGTGTATGTGTCTTGGGAGTCAAACATAGTATTGGGGCCCCTCTGCTTGCTGATTCATGACTCTGATGGGTAACAGCTTTTTTTAATATGGAAAACAGTATCTTTCACCTAAGTTTATAGTGAGGATTGAGAAAATATAAGAAAAGACACATGCAGTAAGCACTCAAATATATTTGCTATTTATTATTATGTATCGCAATAAAATAAAATGTTCTTGTTGACACTTTTTAATGTTTATTTATTTATTTATTTGCTTATTTTTATTTATTTATTTATTTACTTTGTTTATTTTTTTATTTTTATTTTGGTGACATTGGTTAGCAAAATCTAGTAAGTTTCAAATATATCA